GCCCCCACAATCTTGTCTATAAATATAACATGTAATGGAAGAACTGATGTATGCTTTTATCATTTATATGAGTGGTGAATTTATAAAAAAAAAAGTCACAGAAACAGATCAATAGAAATTTAAATAGTGTGGTAGGGAGCTGCCTGCTCAGCCTTCACAATCAACTGTTTGTTCACAGTTCCCATCTTACATTGCATACAACTTTATTTTTGGGTTGCTGTGAGTTTTCCAGGCTGTATGGCTGTCTTCTAGAAGCATTATCTACTGACGTTTTGCCCACATCTATGTTAGGCATCCTCACACATGAAGATGGCAATACATTCATTCACATACATTCACACGACATCACAACCTCTGAGGATGCCTGCCATAGATGTGGGTGAAAGGTCAGGAGAGAATGCTTCTGGAACATGACCATATAGCTGAGAAAACTCACAGCAACACGGTGATTCCAGCCATGAAATCCTTCAACTAAACTTTATATTTCACTCACATTATGTTTGTTTTGACATCACAGGTAGAGAAAAAAATCACATATATTCTATCCCTCATGGGGATGCCTACTCTTTTTTTTTTTTTTGCATCTTATTGTTGCCACATTGAGTGCACAGATGGCAGAAGAGAGGATTATAAAGGTAACTGTGCAAGTCAAGTAAGGTGAAATATAACCCAATGAATTTCATACCAGTATATGTATAACAGGGCCAAGGAGACACCTATCACTTCCTGCATCTCAGGTAAGCCACAAGCATTTGGATCATCTGCTGAGTTGGCACAGCCGAAACCTATTAACAAATTCTATGGCAGAGTGAACTAAGGCTGGGTTACTGTGAGTTTTCCGGGCTGTGAGGCCATGTTCCAGAAGCATTCTCTCCTGACGTTTCACCTGCATCTACGGTAGGCATCCTCAGAGATTGTGAGATGCAGGTGAAACGTCAGGAGAGAATGCTTCTGCAACATGGCCATACAGCCCGGAAAACGCACAACAACCCAGTGATTCTGGCCATAACAATACATTGAACCAAGGTTCCCATAACACAAAATAAAGTATGAGGAAAAGATTTCCATAATTTAAAATTGCTTACTATTTCAACATTAAATGCCAAAAATTACTTTATCCTTCATATTCCCCTGTTATTGCTGAGGAATCGCCCTTGATAAGTTCTGAATTACCTATGATATACAAAGCTCTTTCACCAGACCTTATAAACCATGGACAGGCAACCTTTAGCCCTCCAGGTGTTTTGGACTCCAACTCCCACAATTCCTAACTACCTCAGGCCCCATCCTTTTCCCCCTCAGCCACTTCAGTAAAACATCAGGAGAAAATGCTTCTGGAACATGGCCATACAGCCCCGAAAACTCACAACAACCCAACCTTAGTTCACTCTGCCACAGAATTTGGCCCTCCTAAGGCCATTATTATTAATGGGTTTGGACTGTGCCAGCTCAGCAGAGGATCCAAATGCTTGTGACTTACCTGAGAACCAAATCAGTGCAGGAAGTGATAGGTGTCTTCTTGGTCCTGTTATAAATGTGCTGGTATGGAATTCATTGGGTTATATTTCACCTTACTTGACTTGCACATGTTACCTTTATAATCCTCTCTTCTGCCATCTGTGCGCACAATGTGGAAACAATAAGATGCAAAAAAATTGAAAAGCTTAAGCAGCTGATTTGGGAAAAGGAAAGGGCCTGAGGTTAGGGATTGTGGGAGCTGCAGTCCAAAACACCTGGAGGGCTGAAGGTTGCCCATGCCTGTTATAAACATATGCGCATTTGAAAAAGGAATTCAATGCTATTCAGAAATTTCAGTGTCCAAATTTCAAAGTTGGCCAACCTAATTGATGAAGGTGGGACCCAGAACATCTGAAAGTCACAGTTTTGCCTATCCTGGGTTTATATTCTGCCTCTTAATTCTCCAGAAGTTCAAAACAGCCTACAAACGATAGTCCCCCAACTCATAAGCACAAGAACAACACCTTGTAGGGAAGAAGGTACAAATAAATGACAATAACCCTACAAAATTCAGCCAGGGAATCATTTTCCCCTCTAACAGTCTAACTATTGTAAACATCAACCAGGTCTGATCAAAGTTTTCCTGTTTTCTGCAGACAGTGATTTCCTTACTTCTTCAACAGATTTCTGCAACACCACGATGATATAATGAATAACTTGCTGACATGAAGACATTAAACTCCAATAAAGCAGGCATAAAGTTGGCATTAGAGTTTATTTAATGATACCACTTTCTCTCTTCCTTCCATTCATCCGAGTTTGGACACTTCACTGGCTGCTCTCAAGAAAACAAGTTGCTAAATCAGTTCTGCCTTACAAAGGCAGTGAGTCATTGCTAAAGGATGCAAGGAAGGAAACCTACACAGTACACACACGGCTTAAACGGCCTGAGCACACTGGGTTGGATCCAGATTGAGCCCTATTGAAAGTAAACCCATTCTAATGGGGGGGGGGGTATTTATTATTATTTATTTAAAATGTTTATATTCCGCCCTTCTCACCCCAAGGGTAAAACATCAAAACATCTGGGCAATGTCCTTGCAGATGGCCAATTCTCTCACACCAGAAAGACACTTAAAGTTTCTCAAGTCACTCCTGACACAAAAAAAACCCTAATGGGGCTCAGGGTGGAACACAGGATATACATGACAAATATTACATAGAATCATAGGGTTGGAAGAGACCTCATGGGCCATCCAGTCCAACCCTCTGCCAAGAAGCAGGAAAATTGCATTCAAAGCACCCCCGACAGATGGCCATCCAGCCTCTGTTTAAAAGCTTCCAAAGAAGGAGCCTCCACCACACTCCAGGGCAGAGAGTTCCACTGCTGAACAGATCTCACAGTCAGGAAGTTCTTCCTCATGTTCAGATGGAATCTCCTTTCTTGTAGTTTGAAGCCATTGTTCCGAGTCCTAGTCTCCAGGGCAGCAGAAAACAAGCTTGCTCCCTCCTCCCTATGAATTCCTCTCACATATTTATGCATGGCCCTCATCATGTCTCCTCTCAGCCTTCTACTTCAGGCTAAATATGCCCAGCTCTTTAAGCTGCTCCTCATAGGGCTTGTTCCCCAAACCCTTGATCATTTTAGTTGCCCTCCTCTGGACACATTCCAACTTGTCAATATCATAAAGTGACTATAAATATATACAACACTAAAACAATTACATCTGCTTTGAAATCAGTCATTTAAAACCACCTCAGAGCACCATGCTGGCTAGGTAAGCATGGCTAACCTGTCCCAACTCTGGCACAACATTCAAACATGCGAAGGTCCAAATGGCTGCGAAAAGCAGCCCAGGGAGGAGGCATACACAAAGGTCCAGAACTGGGCTTCCATCCGTCTGAAGTCCATTTCCCCAAGATCTCTTGTAACTGAGCTGCTCGGAAATCCAGCCGAGTCTCCCTAACTCTTTCTCCTCCTCAGCCTAATATCCTTTTCTTTCTCTCCCTTTGATCGGAGCTCGGGTTGGCGGCGCTTCTCCCAACGAGACAACCGGGAACGACTCGGGTGAAGAGAAGGAGGAGGAGGAAGGAGGAGAGATCCGATTCCCAGCCAAGAAACGCGACAAAGGCGGAGGAGGAGGAAGAGGAGGCGGGCGAGGGGAGGGCAGAAGGGAGGCCCTCCTCTTCCTCCCCTCCTCCCTCCAACCCAATACAAATCCAAAGCGAGGCCGAGCGTGTGGCCCAGGGAGTTTCCAGCTCCTCCGTGAGACATTGTCTCGCCGCCGACTAAGGAGGAGGCTCGTTGGAGCCCCCTTTGGGCTTCCTCTGGCCGAGCCCAAGCCCCCTTCTGTGCACCCCAGGCCTCCCTTTTCTCGCCAGAAGCGCGCCAAGGAGAGAGAGAGAGAAAGAAAGAAAGAGGAAGACGTGGCAAGCTCCTCAGCTGCCTCTCGAAAGCCAGCCAGCGAGCAAGCGGGCGGGCGGGCGGGCAGGCGCCTCATCTGCGGCCCTCTCCTCCGAAAGACACACGCAGCACAGCCCCCACCCCCTTCCGCCAAGTCAGGCCGGGAAGGAGGGCCCCTGGGGCCTGGCCAAGGGCTGCCTCGGCTGCTGGGCCCGCTTCCTCCGCGGGAAAGAGAGGCCCCAGCGGCAGCCCCTAAGGCAGCGCGGCGGGGGATTCCCTTCCTTTTGGGGGAGCCACGCGGGGGCCCTCCCCTCCGCCTTGGGGCCAGGAAGGCCCCCTCCTCTCCCTTCCCCATTGCGCGGGAGGGCGGGCAGGAGGAAGGAGAGGCTTCTCCAGTCGCCCCAGACCCGCCGCCGCCGCGTCCTAGTGGCTGCTTCCCGGCCCTTGGGGACCCGCGCCTGCCTCTCTCTCTCTCTCTCTCTCCACGCCTTGGCTCCGGAGAGAGGGAAGGGCTGCCCTTGACCCTTTTAGACCTCGCCAGAGGACCCCCATTGGGGGCGGGAGGGGGGGGGAGAGAGAAGCACCCGCTGTAAATAACAGAGACACAGAGAGAGAGAGAGCGGGCGGCGGCGGCGGGAGGAGGAGGAGGAGGCGCCCGGCCCTCCCCTGCCGGAGGGAAGGACAATAGCTCTCCGCCGACCCCTCGCAGCCCCTGACACTGCTGGAGCCCCAGAGGGAAGGAGGGCGGGGAGGGGAGGGGAGGGGGAGTCCATTGTGTGCACCATTTACAAAACAAAACACAACACACACCGAGAGAGAAGGGACACGAGAGAGAGAGAAAGAGAGAAAGCTGCAAGGAAGGAAGAGTGGCTCCTCCTCCTCTTCCTGGGCTCGGAAAAGGCCTGCTGGAAAACTGCACAGCAGCCGCGGCTTCTCCTGAGCCCTTCGCCTCCCTCCTTTCTCCCTCTCCGTGTGCATGTCTCTCTCTCTCTCTCTCTGGGCCGAAAGAGGAAGGGAAGGAAGAGGAGGAGGAGGAGGAGGAAGAAGGAGCCGCTTCGCCCAAAGCGGAGGCAGGAGGAGGAGGAGGAGGAGGAAGAAGGAGGCAGCCAGCCAGGCAGGCCGCTCGGCTTTGTGTTACCTGCCGTGGAACCAGTCCTTGCAGGCGTCGCACTCGATCATGAAGCGGGTTACGTCGTAGGGCAGCCGGCAGATGCAATAGACGGGCACCGTCGCCATGTTAGCTCCCTTCAAAACAACGCCGGACTCCCGAGGCGCGGAGGGAGGGAGGGAGGGAGAGAGAGAGACACACACACAGAGAGAGAGGAGAAGGGGCGGCAGCGCCAGGCGAGGCGAGGCGGGGAAGGCAGGCAAGGAAGGCGCCTTCTTCTTCTTCTCCTCCTCCTCCTCGGATCCCTGCAGCCGATCAGATCCGATCCAGGCCCGATGCAAGGGAGGAAGGGAGGGGAAAGGGAGATCGGCAGGAGGAGGCGCAGCAGCAGCGGTGGCGGCGGCGGTGGCGACGGCAGCAAAACAAATCCAAGGCGCGCGCTTCAAGGACGAGGGGCGGCCAATGTCAGGGCGAAAATCCGCCCGAAGTTTGCCCGCATGGCTCCCCTTCGGCGTGCCTTTCCCCCGCCTTCCCTTGGTCCCGAAGCCCGCTGGATGGTCCTGATTCCTCAATGCGGGGCGCGCTGCTTTGCTGCTGCTCCTGCCTCCTCCTCCTCGTCGTCCTCCTCCTCCTCTTCCTACGGCATGCCCCCTGGTGACAGTACAGTACCGAGGCTGGCTTTTTCATAAACACGCCGAAATGTAGCCCTCGCCTCGCAATGTCCTTACGTCAGCTTGCAACATTGTAATATTTCCTCCTCTGCCCGGGCTGGAGGGAGGCTGAGAGGAAGGAGAGAAAGGGAAGGAGAGAAGGAGAGGGAAGGGAAGGGGGAGGCAGCGGGCGCGGGAGGGAACTCCCCGGCGAAAAATAGGATCCAAAAAGAAAGAAATAGGAGGGGAGAGGAAGAAGAGACACCCACCCCCAGTCTCAGATAAAGAGGCGTGCAGAACGAAGGCGATTTGAAGGAGGGAGAGTTTTTAAAAATGACAAAACGGAGAGTCCCGGGAACGACGTGGCTGGAGGCGGCGCGAAAGGAGCCTCGCTTCCGAGGGAAAGCCAAGAGAGAGTTTTTGGAAACGAAGAGGGACTCGTCCCACTGCCCAGCTTCCTCGGGAAGTTGCAGGAGAACCTGGGGGTCCTAAAGTGGAGGGGCTCCCGGGTCAAGGACTCCAGGAGGAACCCTCCTGCCCTGCTCAACAGGTTGGAAACTTCACACTGGAAACGGGAGCCCAGCGGAGGAAGTGGCCGTTCCGGTCGCTGGCTTTCCGGAGTCGGGGCTTCCCTTGAAAGTCTCACACTTTATTTTGTTTTGTTTTCTTTTTCAAGCCCTTGGTAGTAAACTTGGGGACCAAGCTGGTGTGAGGCTCTCCGGGAGCAAGGCGCCCCCTCCTCCCGCCTCCATTCCCAGCCCCAGCTCCAAAGTTTTTGAAAAGACCACGTGCTCCCTCTCGTTTGAATGTGTTCTCGGAGCCATATGTTTGATTTTAAGGCGGTATCTTCCTCCAGTCCTCGGGACTGTGGGGAGATTGTTTTGCCTGAGTGCCTTCAAGGTGCCTGTTCGCATATGGGGACCCCATGCATTTCATGGGGTTGGCTTAGGCAGGGAAAACCAGGGGTGGCTTTTGCCTCTGGACACACAGCCTCAATGGGGTTATTGGCACAGAACTCCCTGGCATGAATAAAGACATGGTTGTTTCTTTACCCAAAAACAACACCTCTCTAGGAATTTTTAGATTTTCCAACATGACTCTGTGTTTGACTTCGGCTGGAAGTTAACCATAGAATTGCACTGGAGGACCTAGAGATTTCTAGGGAGTAGTTCCTCCAGCCTGACTTGTGACCAGAGGCGGCTCGTCCATTACGCGAAGTAAGCGGTCGCAGAACACTTTTTTTTGCCAGGGGCGCAGAGGCGCCTCTGTAAATGCCCCTCGACCGCCACTTGAGGAGCGTCCCCTCAGCTCACAACAGCCCTAGCAGTCCGGGGGGAGCCTCGGCTTTCTTGCCTTGCTGCCGGCCGATCCTCTTCCCAAAGGGGCCAGGCCCTTGAGCCTCACCTAGCCCCTCTCGTTCCTGCTCCACCCGGCCACCGGGTGCGCAAGCAGAGCCGACACTCAATCGTTCTCTGCGTTCGATCCCTTCCCCATGACCGGCTCCCTTTCCCGATCCCCCGACGCTCTACCCGCCTCCTCTCCTCTCCCCAATCCGCAGGTGGGCCAAGGGGCGGAGCCACCACGCCTGGCCCGCTTCGGGTCCAGAGGCATGTCTGAAGACCCCAGGGTGTGCACCAAAAGTCACCTCTTCTCCTGACTTTCTCTTCAGCCATTGGGATCAAGAGAGAGAGAGAGAGAGAGCCCCTCCGGCTGGAGGTATCTCCCACCTCCGCTCCCTCCTTTGTTTTTGCACCTACCTTCAGGAAAGGTGGGCATCTCCACCTCTCTCTCTCTCTCTCTCTTGGTCCCAATGGCTGAGGAGAAAGTCAGGAGAAGAGGTGACTTTTGGTGCACACGCCGGGGTCTTCAGGCACGCCTCCGGACCCAAAGTGGGCCAGGCAAGGGAGCAAATGCGGCAAGTGTAGTTACTGGGATGTATAGTTCACCTACAATCAAAGAGCATTCTGAACTCCACCAATGATGGAATTGAACCAAATATGGCACACAGAACTCCCACGACAAACAGAAATATATATCAATGATTGGTTGGGGGGGGGGGGGGCCAAAATACTGTTTGCTTACCATTGAAAATTACCTAGGGCCGCCTCTGCTTGTGACATTGACCTTTGAGCAGGCATGGGCAACCTTTGGCCCTCCAGGTAGTTTGGACTCTAACTCCCACAATTCCTAACAGCCTCGGACCCCTTCTTTTTCCCCCTCAGCCGCTTAAAACACCAGGAGGGCCAAAGTTTGCCCATGCCTGCTTTAGACCAGATCCAGACTGACCTTTATCCCAGCAGTATCCACATTAAAAAAAAAATGTGGATATTTCTGAGGTGAGTGTCCAGACGGTCTCTCGAGACTAGCCTGAGATAACATGTGGAGGCCCTATCCCAAGCCCCCAGAATCCTTAGAAAAGTAATAAAAATGTACGCGGCCTCCATTAGAGGCCCCAGCTGGTTCTCCTGGCTGGCATATAGAAATGACATGCCACGGGAGCAGAGGGGCAGCGATTTTCCTCCCTCCTCTCCCCCTCCTCTCCTGGCGTGTCATTTCTATGTGACAAGAGAGCCCACTGAGGCTTTTAATGGAGGCCATGTAAGTTTTTTAAAGTTAAAGTTTAAACAAGGGAAAGTGAAGGTCATCTGTCCTTCCAACAGCACCTGGTATACCTTGGTAATCTCCCTGTGTCATCACAGGACTGTAAACCACACTGGGTGATGCCCCAAGGCTGGACTTCTGCAATACCTTGTACCTCTGTGCAGGGTTCAGCCCCCCCCCCCCCCAAATTCTCAGGGTGGTCCACGAGAAGGCCTTACTGGTACATTATTTAAACTGTTACGTTTATTCATATCATGATCTGATCACCATGCTCAATATATCCCATATGCATGGGGCTATTGGGATAACGATACAAAAGGTTTGCTAGGGTAGATCCTCAGGCCCCCCTTGAATCAAACTCAGCCACCCCCCCCCAATCAAACTCAGCACCCCCCCCCCCCCCCCCGAATCAAAATCCTGGCTATGGGCCTGCCTCCGTGTCAAGTTCAGAAACTCTTGTTAGTTCTAAAGCATAATACCTACATTGGTCAAAGGAACATCCAGGAGTGAGTATATTATGCCAATACTAAAAGGAGTGAGTATATTATGCCAATACTAGTGGTTGCTAGTTTGTTTCCAGGCAAAGTACAAAGTGTTGGTTTAAAGCGCTATATAGTTACTTACAGGATCACTTTCTCTCATACAACTTGCCTCTTAGGACACTTAGGTCCTGGGGGAAGCTCACACCAACCAGGTAGCACCCAACTGGTAACTGTCACCCAGAGGACCTTGTAATCGGCCACCCCATGACTGTGAAATGACCTGCCAGAAAAGATTTGACAGCTAAACAAGCTGACAAAATTTAAAATACAATTAAAGACCTCTCTCTTCTGGAAACCCTACCCAAATAATTTTAACATATTAATTTTAAATTTACTTTCTATTAGTATCATGTTTTAATCTTTGTACTATGTATCTTAATATATATGAGGGTTATCCAGAAAGTAAGATTACAAGTTTTTAAAAAAATATAAAGAATGAATATATTTTAATAAAACTTACATGGATTGTATCACAGGTATTACATTATTTCTCCACATAATTACAATTTAGCTCAATACATTATGTTATCTGTGGGATGAGTTTTTGATGCCTGTGTCATAGAAGTTTCCCTCTGCCTTTTTCAGACAGTTAATCACTTCAATTTTCACCACCTTAGAAAAGTGTTTTCCACTAAGGTGTTCCTTCAATGTAGTGAACAGACAATAGTCACTGGATGCAAGATTGAGGCTGTGAGAGGGGTGGCTTAAAACATCCCAACCAAATCTGTTTTGGATGGCTCTGCAAAGTTTCTTCATGGTCTCAAAATATGTTGGTACCCATTTTGTCACATGCTGTCTTGATATTACATAACTGAAATGATTTTGCAATTAATCGCAGTGGCATTCATGCCCTTAGCATTTAGGTAGTGTATTACAGCATGAACTTTGCACTTGGAGGGAAAGAGAATAAGGACACTCATCTCTAACCTTCACCACAACACCAGTTGGTGAGCTACTGACGACTGGCACTACTCATTCGCTTCCACTGGCTTCCCACTACACAGCAGTGATACCAACTTCCCCCAAGAAAATTCCCCACGAGAGCTACATGCCTTATAACCTTACTTTCCGGATAACCCTCATTTGTACAGGCAGTCCACAAGTTACAAACAAGATAGGTTATGTATGAATTTGCATGTAAGTTGGAACAGGTACATTTTTAAAGTATAACTCCAGCAATATATATATGCCTTGAATAGCACAGGGATAAATTAACACCACTGTGGTGTTTGTTTTGCTGCCTGTGCCCCTATTCAGAAGATTTCATCTCACTTTCTGTCCCTGTGATAATTGGCTTTTGAAAAAAAATGCTAGTTGTGGAAACAATGATTGGAGATAAAGCTTTAATGGAGACACCTTTTGCCCATGTCATGATAACTCTTTCAGGAGTTAATGTTATTGCCAGGGGGTGGATTTCTCTCACATCCTGTTTTCTCACCCCTGTTCTTAACTATGAGTCATTTGTAAGTCAGATGTATCTAACTTGGGACCTGACTGTATTCTATTTTATCTGGGTATTTTAACTGGGTTGTACCTCACCTCAGGCCATGAGAAGAAGTGGATAATAAATGCAATTATTTATTTTTATTATTATTACCACTCTCAAAAGGAGTGATACCAAGATGATTTGGCTAAACATTTATTGTGCAGTGTTTTGGCAAAATGTACTATTTTTATTAGCAATATCCATCTAATTAGATATAATCGCAAAAACATTTTTCATCAGACCAGCTCACATGTATGGTATAAATATACCTACATGGCTAAAACTGCGCTAATTTGTTTTTTTTTTAACCTTTTAATAATGTGCATGAGCTCCAGTCAGAGTTGTCATTATTATCCAGTTACAATGATGCTTTTAATCAATTTGTTTCATCTGCATGCATTACAAGCATGTGCTGTCGTTTTTGTCTCTGCTGGTTTTAATAGGCACTGATGTTGTCAAATTGTCTGGTATTTTAGCTACATTATTGTCATATGGTCTGATATGCAGGGAAGTCCACAGGGAAGACACTATGAGTAAAT